TTAACGCCGTAGCTCTATACTTTACAATAGACCTGATCGGATAACTACAGCATGCACTCGGCTATTCACAGAAAGCCGGATGCCATGGCGAGGCATTTCGCATTTGTGTGAACAGCTCATTTGCTGTTTATTCACCATTGACTGTCTAAGCAGCTAAATTTATATCCTGTCTCCATTACCTGCTCAGTGAAACAGTCAGGTTGGAAACTGTTTCAACTTACTGCTGTATTACATCTTTTAAGACGAGAAACACCGCAATGCGGGAAATTTAGAAAAGAAGGTATGATTCTCTCTATATTGCAACGAATTGGACGTGTGCAGATGCTTGCCAACCTCTAACTGGGAGGTACTTTGACGATTCCGCTCACCTCATCAATATCTTAGCTCGTGTGCTAAGCGAGTTACGAGATGGGACTGTGTTGGTAAATGCAAACAGCTTCGTGGGACACGACGTATGATCTACATGTGTCATACAAAGCTAATCAATTCGGAGCTGTTCGTTATGAAATAAATGAATAATGAATAATAATAAATAATGAAATAAATCTAGATGAATCAAAATTTAACTGTTCTTTGGAATAGAACGCTAGTTGTCAACATGACGAACCCCAACGCGTTAGATAGCGCGAAATATGACTGTGACTCACTAAGGTATAGAATACTGACAACGTTTGGCATATTGCTTAACCGCTTCAGTTTACACCACAAAATGAGACTATATCACTTGATTTCGAGGCGGTAAAATCTCTAACCAGTGTAAGACCAGATTGGGAGGGTCAATAGACGACAGGTTTGTAGCAGAAAGTGCAGGTGACTGTCCTTCGATCACCTGATTGCTAGCAACCAATACATTCACTGTCCAATTTACTTTCATACCACCAGCAACAAGACAAACGTAAGTGAAACACTCAAAACCAGTATGATCAACACTGTTTTGAAACGAATGGCATTTAGACTTTTCCAACAGCAATCTTTAAAATTCCGTCTGAGTTACAACTGTCTTGAAGATTTGAGTAAGTTATCATCATCATCATCAACTTCGTACAGCGAAATACAGTGAAGCGAACTTCACTGGTCGCTACCAAACTCGCAATACAAACAAGGTTAGCGGTAAAATTTAAAGTGGACAGGGATTGAACTTATTTTGAGGGAGGGGGAAGAAGATGAACTTCTATGGTCAACAGAGTACACAATCGGACTATGCAAATTACCATTTCAAGCATTCTGGCCTGATAAAAAAATGACAACAAGAACGCCACTGATGTCGGTTCGCTGCCATATCCTTCAATGTCTCCAACTAACCGGTTGTGGAGTCTTTCGAACCCCAACTTGGAAAGCGAGAGACACCTACTCTACCTAATGGCTCTGTGCATTTCTTCATGCCACGTCATTTGTCGACTTAAACGTGGTTTCCTCCAGCCCGGATTAGCTACAGCGAATAAAGCGCGGTGCGACAGACGGCAGCTGGGCATACGCAATACGTGCCCTAGTCAGCGAAGTCTACTAATCTGAATTCAATGTGCTAGCAGGTTTATACTTGATGGACTTTCAAACACACGACGGTTCACCTCCAGATTACTAACCCGTTTGCTCCAATCCACGTGGGCTAAACTACGTAAACACCGATAGTCGAAAACCTCTAGTAGACGGATATCTACTCGGAAATTCAAAGTCTCACAATCATAAAGCAGGACTGACCGAAAGATAGCACAAGATAAACGACCTTTCAGCTCCAGTGAAACGTCGACTCTACGCCAAAGGTGTTTCAGCCCTGCGTATGATGCTCGAACATGGGAAATGCGGGCGGTTATCTCCTTTACTGCACTTCCGTCATTGATTACGCAACTACCTAAGTACGGAAAGAAATTCACTATAATTAATTCCTGGCCATTTAGTTCCAGAGCGGGAGTAGACGAAACTCAGTTCTGCAGCATCACTTTGCACTTCGAAGGTGCAAAGCACAAACTGAATGTGACAACAGAACTTGTTAGTCTATCAAGTGCGCTTTGCGCGTTCTCCGTACATTCGAACAGACAGACGATGTCATCGACGTCCTTCAAATTGCATAGTTTTTCTCCAACTGCCCATTCAATAACCATGTTTTGGAGATCACTTAGAGCGTTCTCCAGAGTTTCGTCTATGAGAAAATTGAACGGGAATGGGGAAAGAGGGCACCCTTGACAAACGGCCTACTCCGTTCGTTGTAAACCCTCAGTCGACCATAGGTAAGTGAGTAGAGTGACCTCAGTAAGTTAACATCCTTCTGGGGTATTCCTTTTCGAAGAAAGGAACCCATTAGGGCTTTGCGATGAACTGAGTCGAAGGCTCGTTTCACGTCAAGGAACACTGCGATCGTTGGTCGACGATGAGTGTGACGCAGCTCAAAGTCCTGACGCAACGTAAAAATTTGATTAATACATCCACGGCCAGGCCGGAATACGGTTTGTTGTTCACGGATGTTGGTCTTTATTGAAGGCATCAGACGTCGAATTATGACCAAGGCTAGCACTTTTGTGACGATTGGAATAAAACTTATCTCGTGGCGGTTTTCGCAATCGTTGCGAGATGGATTCTTGAAAATGGGAACGGTCGGTGATTCGCCTTGAGATGAAGAAATGCGCCATTGAGTCC